ATATAGCTGTACTTTTCCACAGTTATACCTTCATTGGATTTCTTTCCACAATCCCTTGGGTATAGTCATTCCTTTCTTCAGCTCTTTTATTGCTTCCAGAACTAGCTCTGAAGGGCTGGTTTTGTGGACATGAATTCGTTCACCCTATTTATGTCATGGAAGATTTTTCTTTCCCCTTCGACTCTAATAGACATTTTGGCTGGGTATGGTAATCTCGGTTGGCATCTGTGTTCATTTAAAATTGGGAATACTTTTGTCCAGGCTCTTCTGGTTTTCATAGTTTGCAGTGAAAAGTCAGCTGTAATCCTAATGGGTTTTCCTTTATATGTGACTTGTTGTTTCTCTTTTGCAGCTTACAGTATTGTCTCTTTGTTTTGTATGTGTAGTGTTTTTACTACGATGTGCTGTGGAGAGTTTCTTTTCTGGTCCTGTCTGTTTGGTGTTCTATATGCTTCTTGTATTTGTATGGGCATGTCTTTCTTTAATTATGGGAAATTTTCTTCCATGATTCTGTTGAAGATCTGGTCCATGCCATTATCTTGGGATTCTTCACCTTCCTGTATGCCTATAATTTGTAAGTTTGGTCTTTTTATGGTGTCATACAATTCCTGCATATTCCATTCTTGTGATTTCTTAAATTTTTCATAATCTTTGCTTGAGTGGTCCAGTTCGTCCACTTTATCTTCTAGTCTTGATACTTTGTTTTCCATTTCATTCATCCTGTTGTTGAGGCTTTCTCCTGTTTTTTTTCTAATTGGCTTAGTGAGTGTTTCACTTCCTTCATTTCAGCCTGAGTATTCTTCAGTATTTCTAGTACTCTTTTCTGAATTTGTTCAGAATTTTATCCCTATCTTCTTTCAGTTCTTTAATTTCTTTGTTTTGTGTGTTCATACACTGAATTCTTTTGTCATGTTTATAATTGCTCTTTTGAATTCCATGTCCTGTGTTATCTCTAGGGTGTTCTCATTGTACTCCTCTATAGGACTATTGGTATTTGGTGGGGATATGTTATTTTGGTTTTTCTTCTTATTATTTTTTTCTCTATGATTTTGACGTGTGGATTTCTTTTGTAGTTTCTAGTTCTTGTGTGAGACTTTGGCCTTGAAGTTTAGGTCCACTTCTTTTTGTGAACTTTATGTGTCTTTGTGGTTTACTTTTGGGGTGTGAAAAGCTGGTTCCTCTAAGCTTCCAGT